CTCGATCTCGGACTTGATCTCGGACCCGACTTCGGACTCGGTCTCGGACTCGATCTCGGACTCGACTTCAGACTCGACCTCGGACTCGGTCTGGGACCCGATTTGGATTTCGGACTCTGTCTCGAACTCGGTCTCGAACTTGGTCTCCGATTCGGCCTCGGACTCGATCCCGGACTCTATCTCGAACTCGGTCTCAGAGTTGGTCTTGGACTCGATCTTCGACTTGGTCCCATCTGATGAACTCTTTGTCATTTTTGGTCATGCTTTCGGGGATCCTTTAGCCTACGACACCTTGGCGAGTTGGTTCTTTACACGGACTCATTTGTTACAAACAAACGAGGGTGTATGTTCTAAAAGGGAACTAAGAAAAGTAGCCTTAGAAGAGTGTCATGATGGACCTCTTGCGGGACACGGCAGAGTACCCAAGACGATGGGCTTACTCAAGAGGAAGTACCATTGGCCAGATATGGCTAAGGACGTCCAAGACTATGTAAATACATGTCCAACATGTGAGCAGGTCAAAGCCGTGACTAAGGCTAGTGGGGGCTTGTTACAAAGCATCCCAATTCCAGATCGCCTATGGAAATGTCTTACGATGAACTTCATCATGGGACTTCCCCCCAGCAGGGGGTTTGATGCGATATTCGTGGTGGTGGACCGATTTTCGAAGATGGCATATTTCATACCCACCACAACGGAAGTGGATGCAGAAGGTGTGGTGAAGTTGTTCTTCGAACAAGTAGTTCGAGTGCGAGGAAGGCCAGAAGAGATCATCTCAGATCGAGATAAGATCTTCACCAGTAGGTTCTAGAGAACTCTCCTGGAACAATATCGCACCAAGTTAAAATTCAGCACAGCCTACCACCCACAGACAGGTATGGGGTATTAAGTCAAGTTTGATGGCACTAACAGTTCTTGATAGACGGACAAACGGAAAGGGTGAATAGGCAGCTAGAGGATTATTTGCGATGCTATGTCTCAGGAGACTAAACCGATTGGGTAAGTCACTTAGGACTTGTGGAAATGTGTTATAACAACTCACCACATTCGAGTATTAGGGTGAGTCCATGGGAAATCATCAATGGGCGAGCTATTGAAGGTCCTGTGGAGCTCGGCGTGGCCAAGTACCATGGAGAGTTACCTGCAGTGGAGGCATTCATGGTGGAAAGATTCAACATTTGGAATCTAGTGAGGGATTCCTTGGAACGGGCTCAACAAAGGCAAACCAAATATGCAAACCAAAAGCGTCAGGATGTAGAGTTCCAAGCTGGGGAGAAGGTGTGGCTAAACACCAAGAACCTCAGGCTGCCAAGTGGAATCAACCGGAAGTTGACCCAAAGGTAAAAATGCATGTATTCCTGGAATTGAATTGATCTTGAGTTCCTTAACCAGGTTCGCGAGGCCTTACGAAATTGAGGCATGAATCGGTAAAGTGGCTTACCGTCTCCGACTTCCTCGAGAGATAGGGAAGATGCACCCAGTGTTCCATGTGAACCTACTCAAGCCGTACTTTGATGATCCGCTTCGTAAGGACCAAGTGAGACCTTTACCTGAGGTTATCCAAGGGGAAGAGGAATACAAAGTGGAGGCCATCCTCAATATGCGCAAGAGCAAGCGACAAGGACACAAGGTGAGAGAGTTCCATGTGAAGTGGAAAGGATTTCCACATTGCGAAGCAACATGGGAACCGGAGGAGAACCTAGCGAATGCACGAGATCTAGTGGAGGAATTTCTGCAAAGCAGAACTCTATGTACTTATGCAAAGTTCAATTAAAGTATCAATTTGTGAAGTTGAGTAATGGCATATGTTGGGACCCGAAGGCATGCCGAAGGTAAGCTAATTAGCATGGGTTAGCTAAGTCAACCAAGTGTAGAGAACTATGCCTAACTCCCCACGGGGATGTCGAATCCGTAGATGTATTCTACGGAGGTTGAGTTCGAGTCCCAACCCCCTAGTAAAGCAAGGTTAGTTTCAAGTCCCAACCCCATACTAGGGCGTGGTGGGATGAGGAGTATAGGGACACTTATATTCCATTGTCATGGGCTCTTGGCTAGGCAGGCTAACTTAGGCACACCGCTAAGTGGGGGGATGCCCCCGGAGACATGGTCAACAAGTCGTAGGATTAAAAAGAGAGATGTTCGATGTGGGCATCGAACTTCTTTTATGGGTGGTGGAGTTATAAGGAACTAACTCCCTGAGGTGTCATAGGCTAAAAGATCCCCGAAAGCATGACCGAAATGACAAAGAGTTCATCGGATGGGATCGAGTCTAAGATCGAGTCCAAAACCGACTCTAAGACCGAGTTCAAGATAGAGTCTGGGATCGAGTCTGAGGCCGACTCGGAGACTGAGTTCGAGGCCGAGTTCAAAACCAAGTTTGAGATAGAGTCCGAGATCCAAAATCGGGTCCGAGACCGAATCCGAAATCGAGTCTGAGATCGGGTCCAAGATCGGGTCCGAGATCGAGTCCAAGATCGAGTCCGAGACCGAGTCCGAGTACTAATATAGGTCAAGGGGTGAAAGCCCAAAACATGCATCTCCCAGAGGAAGGGGGGGGGGGGCTACAGGGGGTTCCAAAAGTATAATAAGAATAGTGAGGTCTAGGAACCAATTTTGAAGGAATTCTCCAATAGGGCTTCCAAACTGACTTGAGGTTGGGATTAGGACCGAGGGGCCTTGGGTGGGAGTGAGCATGGACTTGGTTGGTGCCGGAAGGGCCATCCAAGGAAGTGCTCAAGAGCAGCTCCCACTCCCGAAAGGGAAACTCACTGCAGTGCTCCCGGCTCATGTGGAGTGGTGCCCCACTTGAGTACCTTGTGGCTCATTAGTCCCCGCCCTTCCTAGGGGCTTGGACCTTCCCTTTGGGATGGAAGTGGGGGGGGTAGAGGTACCCATACCAGGCCGTGAGGCCACGGTGTTTTCCCCCAACGTCCTCAAGCCGGTGTTGCACTCAAGACTTGGGATTTAGAGGGTCCCATGATCAAGTCTTATGGTACCAAGGGATGTTAGGAATCTGCAGGCTTGGTGTGCTTGGCTACTTGTGCCTGCAGGGAGTGTTGCCGAACCTTAAGTTCAGTCTAACCCGGGGAGGGGGATTGGGAGAGATTTGCGAATCCGTGGATAGATGGCTAATGCTCCGTTGCTCATGTAGTGAGTAGCTAAAACCAAGTAGGACCAAGTAATAGTTAATACCATAGGTGGGAACCTTGGCGAGGGAACTTAGCTAAAGCCAAGGCAGTGTTGGTCAGATAGACGAGGTAAGCTGGCAAATTGGAAATGAAAAATTTGTGGCTTACATTTAGAGTGTGAAATTGTGATGGGGCAATTTAAAGGGACAAAAGTTTTTATCCCACGTATCACACTAATACCATCAAATGCAGAAATTCCGTTTAAAATGTCCAAAAGACAATTTCCAATCCGTTTAGATTACTGCTTAACAATTTCTAAATGCCAAGGACAAACATTTGACCGAGTTGGAGTTTACTTGCCCCACCCAATTTTCACTCATGAGTAACTTTATATGGCTTTATCAAGATGCATATCACCACATGGACTTGGAATTAAAATTCAAAACACCACACACCAAGGCCACCTCCTTCCTCAAAATCCTTATGCTTTTACAATCAACACTGTTTATAAAGACATTTTATATTAAACCTCTCTGTAAACCACCCAACATTTGCTGGGCAAGTACTCCTTCTCTAGATATTAGTGCTATGTTGAATTTCCAAAACAAAGCAAGCCATAACATTTATAATGACTTTAATATTATAAATCGTAATGATAAACCTCAATAATAGAAACCTCTTTGTAAACCACATAAGGCTATAACCATAACCATAACTATAAGGCTATAAGGGTGTAACCATATCGATTGTCGTCAACTAAGAAGTAGTATTGGAAGTAAGCGCGGAGATTGCTTGCGCAAACACCTTGAAACTTCAACTGCTCATACCTTGGGCTTGTGCTACAGCGATCTCACCCCCGACCACCTCGGCCCGCTCGCAAAACTGGGCCTTTCCACTCCTCCGGTGGCACTCCATCAGCAGCTTCCTGGTGGTGTTCATCGCATACTCCCAGCAATTCTTGTCGTGATGGCTGTACTGCGGGTCATGATTCTCCAGAATCCTCATGAGCTCGTGCAGTTCCAGCGGCGTATCCTCACAATCGAAATTCAGCAGCTTGGCATTGGTATACTCGCCTAGACTGCGAACGAGGGTGATATTGATCCCGCATTCTTCGCCAGGGCCACACTTCTCGGCAAGGAAGAATTGCTCCACGCCCCCGACGACCAGCACAATCACCAGGAAGTCGTGGTTGATGATCGACTTTGGATTGATGCAGTTAGTGGCGAGGGCGGCTGTTGCTTCGATGGCGCCCTGCAAGCCCTTGGTCAAGCTCCTGGTGAAGCCGTTTGTGAGGCCGGATTGGCAGTAGACGATGGCACGGAGGAGCGAGGGGCTGGATCGCTCAAGAGCGACGAAATCAAGGAGATCCTTGGGCTTGAGATGGTTTCTGATTTCGCCTGGAATTATGGCTGACGAGGAGACCACTCCAAAGCTGTGGAGCAGCGTTTTGCTGCCATCGTACAAGCCCTGCGCAACATGAGTTGATGTAGAGCTCTTGGCCACCGACTTGGAGATTTTCGACATTGTTGGAGATGGAGAAACAAAGCTCAGGAGCTCTCCTGGGAAGAAGAACGCGTTTTTCTAGGCGGCAGCCCACACTCCGGATGAGCTCACCGGCGGGTAGAGCCCAGGGAGTGGGGTCGGCGGGAGACTCGACGTGCTGACTCTCCTTCGGCGCTCCGTCGTTCCCCGCCCTCCGACCGGCGGGTGCGGTCGACACCGTCTGTGGGGCTCGGCACCCCGAAAACCCACCACCGTCGTGCTATTGGCCACTGCTTCCAAGGGATTGGGAAGAAGAACGCGTTTCTAGGCGGCAAGCGCCAGGAAGCATCGTTTGATGCTAGAAGGTTCCTCTAGCTAAAACACATTGCTATCTCCAGTTTGGGCGTCTTACCAGGTAAAAAACTCTCATTCTTTCCACAACTAAATCATATCTCTTCGTGTCTTCTTCCAGAAAAATGGTGGACAGCCTTCGCCGGCCATGAGCTTTGATTTCCGTTTCAAGCTATGGTGGATCATTCTCGCGAGTCTCGCCGTCAATATAGCTTGGCAAAAGGTGGGAATTTTTCCATTCCAGAAGAGAAGAAAAAGAAATTCTCACTTGATAACGTGCGTTCCAGGTCGTAGTGGAAGGCCCACTGGCACGGATTTTAGCTGCAAAGTATCCCTCAAAGCGACAAAAGCTACACATTTAGAGTATATTTTTAGAATCGCCAAGAATGTACGGTACCAAAAATTTAAATCTGAAGGGCAAACGCCATCTTGAATTCGTTGGTTAAGCATATATCCTTTTCAAAAGCTCTCTAGAAGTTTACTCACCGTTTAGCTGCACGTCGCTAAGAACTCTCCGAAAGACAAACGGGGAAATGTTAATCAGTCTCAGGGTCTCATCAATCACCTTCACAGACAGTCAGCAGTCATAAAGAACTCGAAGAAACTTTAGCATACTCTAGACATGTATGCGGTCTAGAGTCTAGAGTCTCGAGTCCAGAGTCTAGTCAGGTCTAGTCATGCTCCTGATGCGCCTCTTGTGCACGAGGGGATCCATGTGTACTTGCTAGAGAAAGAGAAATTATATATTTGCGGTCATGACAAATAGCAATGTGTTTTAGCTAGAGGAACCTTCTAGCATCAAACGATGCTTCCTGGCGCTTGCCGCCTAGAAACGCGTTCTTCTTCCCAATCCCTTGGAAGCAGTGGCCAATAGCACGACGGTGGTGGGTTTTCGGGGTGCCGAGCCCCACAGACGGTGTCGACCGCACCCGCCGGTCGGAGGGCGGGGAACGACGGAGCGCCGAAGGAGAGTCAGCACGTCGAGTCTCCCGCCGACCCCACTCCCTGGGCTCTACCCGCCGGTGAGCTCATCCGGAGTGTGGGCTGCCGCCTAGAAAAACGCGTTCTTCTTCCCAGGAGAGCTCCTGAGCTTTGTTTATTGCTCCATCTCCAACAATGTCGAAAATCTCCAAGTCGGTGGCCAAGAGCTCTACATCAACTCATGTTGCGCAGGGCTTGTACGATGGCAGCAAAACGCTGCTCCACAGCTTTGGAGTGGTCTCCTCGTCAGCCATAATTCCAGGCGAAATCAGAAACCATCTCAAGCCCAAGGATCTCCTTGATTTCGTCGCTCTTGAGCGATCCAGCCCCTCGCTCCTCCGTGCCATCGTCTACTGCCAATCCGGCCTCACAAACGGCTTCACCAGGAGCTTGACCAAGGGCTTGCAGGGCGCCATCGAAGCAACAGCCGCCCTCGCCACTAACTGCATCAATCCAAAGTCGATCATCAACCACGACTTCCTGGTGATTGTGCTGGTCGTCGGGGGCATGGAGCAATTCTTCCTTGCCGAGAAGTGTGGCCCTGGCGAAGAATGCGGGATCAATATCACCCTCGTTCGCAGTCTAGGCGAGTATACCAATGCCAAGCTGCTGAATTTCGATTGTGAGGATACGCCGCTGGAACTGCACGAGCTCATGAGGATTCTGGAGAATCATGACCCGCAGTACAGCCATCACGACAAGAATTGCTGGGAGTATGCGATGAACACCACCAAGAAGCTGCTGATGGAGTGCCACCGGAGGAGTGGAAAGGCCCAGTTTTGCGAGCGGGCCGAGGTGGTCGGGGGTGAGATCGCTGTAGCACAAGCCCAAGGTATGAGCAGTTGAAGTTTCAAGGTGTTTGCGCAAGCAATCTCCGCGCTTACTTCCAATACTACTTCTTAGTTGACGACAATCGATATGGTTACACCCTTATAGCCTTATAGTTATGGTTATGGTTATAGCCTTATGCGGTTTACAAAGAGGTTTCTATTATTGAGGTTTATCATTACGATTTATAATATTAAAGTCATTATAAATGTTATGGCTTGCTTTGTTTTGGAAATTCAACATAGCATTAATATCTAGAGAAGGAGTACTTGCCCAGCAAATGTTGGGTGGTTTACAGAGAGGTTTAATATAAAATATCTTTATAAACAGTGTTGATTGTAAAAGCATAAGGATTTTGAGGAAGGAGGTGGCCTTGGTGTGTGGTGTTTTGAATTTTAATTCCAAGTCCATGTGGTGATATGCATCTTGATAAAGCCATATAAAGTTACCCATGAGTGAAAATTGGGTGGGGCAAGTAAACTCCAACTCGGTCAAATGTTTGTCCTTGGCATTTAGAAATTGTTAAGCAGTAACCTAAACGGATTGGAAATTGTCTTTTGGACATTTTAAACGGAATTTCTGCATTTGATGGTATTAGTGTGATACGTGGGATAAAAAATTTTGTCCCTTTAAATTGCCCCATCACAATTTCACACTCTAAATGTAAGCCACAAATTTTTCATTTCCAATTTGCCAGCTTACCTCGTCTATCTGATCAACACCGCCTTGGCTTTAGTTAAGTTCCCTCGCTAAGGTTCCCACCTATGGTATTAACTCTTACTTGGTCATACTTGATTTCAGCTACTCACTACACGAGCAACGGAGCGTTAGCCATCTATCCACGGATTCCCAAATCTCTCCCAATCCCCCTCCCCGGGTTAGACTGAACTTAAGGTTCGGCAACACTCCCTGCAGGCACAAGTAGCTAAGCACACCAAGCCTGCAGATTCCTAACATCCCTTGGTACTACAAGACTTGATCATGGGACCCTTTAAATCCTAAGTCTTGAGTGCAACACCGGCTTGAGGATGCCGGGGCAAAACACCCTGGCCTCACGGCCTGGTATGGGTACCTCTACCCCCCCCTCCCACTTCCATCCCGAAGGGAAGGTCCAAGCCCCTAGGAAGGGCGAGGACTAATGAGCCACAAGGTACTCAAGTGGGGCACCACTCCACATGAGCCGGGAGCACCGCAATTAGTTTCTCTTTCAGGAGTGGGAGTTGCTCTTGAGCACTTCCTTGGATGGCCCCTCCGGCACCAGCCAAATCCATGCTTACTCCCACCCAACGCCCCTCGGTCCCAGTCCCAACCTCAAGTCATGATGATGCTCTCGCAATTGTCACAGAGACAGGTATATCCTTCTGCCATGGTTTTTTCTTTCACTAAGGAACGTGTTTTTTCTGTGACCCAGGTATGTCAACCTCCAAAGGCGAACTGGTTGTGACGATTTTGTACCCTCAAAAGCTCATCTTCAAGTACGATGAGGAGCTCCAAATCGTTGCCTGTCTTCTTTTTATCTACGCTATCATATGCTTTGTTGTGTCCATATAAAGTTTCAGGTATATATCCATGTTTCTCTATATGAAATCATTTCCGTCTATTGTGGACCAGAACATGAACGGACAGCAGAGTATTTGGGTGACAAAGTGGATCTACTGTATGTTCATCATAAATCAGATAATGTCGCCACTATTGCCGGTCGCTCTTGAAGTTGGACAAATTCACGCTCTGGAGAGTTTAAAGGCACGCCTTCTTACCTCCTGTTTCCAGTTCCTTATGTTGTTCTTTCAGAAGCGTGGGGTGTTTTGCCTCAATCCAAAGCGCATAGGTTATCGCTGGGAAAATACGAGTTTTCTGTTTTGACAAAACTGGGACATTGACAAAAGAGGGACTCGATTTTGTTGGAGTTCAGAGTGTCGTCACTAACTCCTTTGGACCAGTTTTATCACTTGAAGGTGGTCAAAGAATTGATGATATTGTTTTGCATGGACTTGCCACATGTCATGCTGTTACAAAGTTCGGAAAGGACTTGGTTGGAAACCAGGTTGAGGTAAATTTGTAATTTTCGCCAGAAAAGCTTGGATGATCTTTTGTGTGACAGGTGAAAATGTTCTCAGCTGTGGGATGGAATTTGATAGAGTCCGCAAAGAGTCCCCCAGTCGTTTCAGATGGTTCCGGATCACGGACCTTTAGAATCGTGAGACGAAACGAGTTTGATCAATCGAGAGCAACAATGAGTGTTGTTGTGGAGGACAACTCTGGAAACTTTCACATCTACTGCAAGGTTCTTGCGTCTAGCATTTGCTCATTAATATTTCCGTTCAAGCATGGCAGGGTTCTTTCGAAAAGATTAAGGAGCTGAGCAACGCTCAAAGCCTTCCAGCGGACTACGAGGACAGAGCACGGCTTCAAGCTCTGCAAGGTTGTTATGTTCTTGGTTTAAGCTACAGGTGCACGCTGTTTCCTCAGTCTTCCATGTTTTGCAGCTGGCTTTTTATACTGTTTTCTTCCCTGAACCTTGCAGATACCTTGGCCGAGAACTGGCATTTGAAGACATGTTAGCACTACCAAGGAATGAGTTGGAGAAGGACCTATATTTTATATCTCTGGTCTTGTTTAGGAACGAGCTAAAGCCGGATAGCTCTGCAGCTATTCATTCTCTCAAAGCTGGAAAGGTACGTTGTCTATATTGATTCCGCTGGAGAACGAAATGCTCCTGGTCTATAGGTTCGTCCCGTGATGTTTACCGGTGATAATGCTCAATGCGGCCACTATATTGCTAAACAATCTGGTATGTTCTCTACTGACTGTAAGATACTACTGGCTGATATAACGAACGACAACAGGTTGGTCTTATTCTTTATGAAAGATCTTTCTAACGATAGTTTTGTCTCTGTAGCGTGGTATGGTCTCCACTGAGTAGTAAAGTGACAACGGGTATAAGCCGCATGACCACCGAAGAACTACTTCAAAGTAGAGCGAGCTTACTTGAGGACGGGACCTTGGAACTTGCGGTTACGGGTAAAGCTTTTAACGGCTTACAAGAATCCAAGAGAACGGACGACTTACTTCTTTACACACGAATCTTCGCAAGATTCACTCCTTCCGATAAGATTCATCTTGTGCCTGCAGGGAGTGTTGCCGAACCTTAAGTTCAGTCTAACCCGGGGAGGGGGATTGGGAGAGATTTGGGAATCCGTGGATAGATGGCTAACGCTCCGTTGCTCGTGTAGTGAGTAGCTGAAATCAAGTATGACCAAGTAAGAGTTAATACCATAGGTGGGAACCTTAGCGAGGGAACTTAACTAAAGCCAAGGCGGTGTTGATCAGATAGACGAGGTAAGCTGGCAAATTGGAAATGAAAAATTTGTGGCTTACATTTAGAGTGTGAAATTGTGATGGGGCAATTTAAAGGGACAAAAGTTTTTATCCCACGTATCACACTAATACCATCAAATGCAGAAATTCCGTTTAAAATGTCCAAAAGACAATTTCCAATCCGTTTAGGTTACTGCTTAACAATTTCTAAATGCCAAGGACAAACATTTGACCGAGTTGGAGTTTACTTGCCCCACCCAATTTTCACTCATGGGTAACTTTATATGGCTTTATCAAGATGCATATCACCACATGGACTTAGAATTAAAATTCAAAACACCACACACCAAGGCCACCTCCTTCCTCAAAATCCTTATGCTTTTACAATCAACACTGTTTATAAAGACATTTTATATTAAACCTCTCTGTAAACCACCCAACATTTGCTGGGCAAGTACTCCTTCTCTAGATATTAGTGCTATGTTGAATTTCCAAAACAAAGCAAGCCATAACATTTATAATGACTTTAATATTATAAATCGTAATGATAAACCTCAATAATAGAAACCTCTTTGTAAACCACATAAGGCTATAACCATAACCATAACTATAAGGCTATAAGGGTGTAACCATATCGATTGTCGTCAACTAAGAAGTAGTATTGGAAGTAAGCGCGGAGATTGCTTGCGCAAACACCTTGAAACTTCGACTGCTCATACCTTGGGCTTGTGCTACAGCGATCTCACCCCCGACCACCTCGGCCCGCTCGCAAAACTGGGCCTTTCCACTCCTCCGGTGGCACTCCATCAGCAGCTTCTTGGTGGTGTTCATCGCATACTCCCAGCAATTCTTGTCGTGATGGCTGTACTGCGGGTCATGATTCTCCAGAATCCTCATGAGCTCGTGCAGTTCCAGCGGCGTATCCTCACAATCGAAATTCAGCAGCTTGGCATTGGTATACTCGCCTAGACTGCGAACGAGGGTGATATTGATCCCGCATTCTTCGCCAGGGCCACACTTCTCGGCAAGGAAGAATTGCTCCACGCCCCCGACGACCAGCACAATCACCAGGAAGTCGTGGTTGATGATCGACTTTGGATTGATGCAGTTAGTGGCGAGGGCGGCTGTTGCTTCGATGGCGCCCTGCAAGCCCTTGGTCAAGCTCCTGGTGAAGCCGTTTGTGAGGCCGGATTGGCAGTAGACGATGGCACGGAGGAGCGAGGGGCTGGATCGCTCAAGAGCGACGAAATCAAGGAGATCCTTGGGCTTGAGATGGTTTCTGATTTCGCCTGGAATTATGGCTGACGAGGAGACCACTCCAAAGCTGTGGAGCAGCGTTTTGCTGCCATCGTACAAGCCCTGCGCAACATGAGTTGATGTAGAGCTCTTGGCCACCGACTTGGAGATTTTCGACATTGTTGGAGATGGAGAAACAAAGCTCAGGAGCTCTCCTGGGAAGAAGAACGCGTTTTTCTAGGCGGCAGCCCACACTCCGGATGAGCTCACCGGCGGGTAGAGCCCAGGGAGTGGGGTCGGCGGGAGACTCGACGTGCTGACTCTCCTTCGGCGCTCCGTCGTTCCCCGCCCTCCGACCGGCGGGTGCGGTCGACACCGTCTGTGGGGCTCGGCACCCCGAAAACCCACCACCGTCGTGCTATTGGCCACTGCTTCCAAGGGATTGGGAAGAAGAACGCGTTTCTAGGCGGCAAGCGCCAGGAAGCATCGTTTGATGCTAGAAGGTTCCTCTAGCTAAAACACATTGCTATTTGTCATGACCGCAAATATATAATTTCTCTTTCTCTAGCAAGTACACATGGATCCCCTCGTGCACAAGAGGCGCATCAGGAGCATGACTAGACCTGACTAGACTCTGGACTCGAGACTCTAGACTCTAGACCGCATACATGTCTAGAGTATGCTAAAGTTTCTTCGAGTTCTTTATGACTGCTGACTGTCTGTGAAGGTGATTGATGAGACCCTGAGACTGATTAACATTTCCCCGTTTGTCTTTCGGAGAGTTCTTAGCGACGTGCAGCTAAACGGTGAGTAAACTTCTAGAGAGCTTTTGAAAAGGATATATGCTTAACCAACGAATTCAAGATGGCGTTTGCCCTTCAGATTTAAATTTTTGGTACCGTACATTCTTGGCGATTCTAAAAATATACTCTAAATGTGTAGCTTTTGTCGCTTTGAGGGATACTTTGCAGCTAAAATCCGTGCCAGTGGGCCTTCCACTACGACCTGGAACGCACGTTATCAAGTGAGAATTTCTTTTTCTTCTCTTCTGGAATGGAAAAATTCCCACCTTTTGCCAAGCTATATTGACGGCGAGACTCGCGAGAATGATCCACCATAGCTTGAAACGGAAATCAAAGCTCATGGCCGGCGAAGGCTGTCCACCATTTTTCTGGAAGAAAACACGAAGAGATATGATTTAGTTGTGGAAAGAATGAGAGTTTTTTACCTGGTAAGACGCCCAAACTGGAGAGGCGGGGTTTGCATGGTTGAATTGCTCGCTTGCAACGTGCCATACTTCCGTGAACTTGTTGTGAGGAAGAAGCAGTAGACAAGAGCACACAGCGATCAATGACCAGTACGAAACCTGCGTGGAAAAGACTTAAGTGCTTGAAACTACTTGACAGTAGAAGACTTACCATCAAAGAGAGGTTTTTGAATACGGTCTTTCGAAACTTGGAGCCAAACGAGAACACGAATGCGGACGTGATGAACTGGAAATACATTGTGAAGAACAACACTGTGGACTCCCAGTTGTCACCCAGCGTCCACCAGCTTGCACCATGAGAGTATCTGAAACAAACGAGATTTTGAGCACGAACTTTACAAAACCAATCACTCACTGTGCCGGCCATCTCACGTAATCCTTCTGGCTTGCCATGAAACAAATTGCAGCCACCAGGAACACAACGTTGCTTCCCCATAGCCCCAGCACCGATGCTACGTTTAAAGGTCCAAGAGGCCTCACCTGTCATTACCACGGTTAAACATTTCAAGAACCTTGTTGAGTATTTTTTCAGCGTTGCACCGAGACATGGCATAACCAAGGCTGAGCACAGCTACGCCATCAATAAATATGCAGTCCATTTGGCAGGCTATAATCCCAAACCTGGATTAAAAGCGCTAAGCGTCGGGAAGATCTCGAAAGTCCAAGCTTACCAATAACAACAAAGCTTGAATATTGAGAACTGGAGGCCATAAATAATCAGAAACTTGTAGCATGCGAATGACGTATGGAGAGCACCTCGCGCTTCACGTAGTGAATCTACCACAGCGTGGACCTACAAAGAAACATCAACTTTGTGCGATTGTTTCAGAAAAAAGCTTGAACTGACCGATTTGTTTCGGGCAGTAAATGGAGACACCACCGATGCTTCTGCAGCACTTAAAGCGATGCCGGCGTGAGCGGCCCTTAGCGCTCCACAATCGTTTCCACCGTCACCACACATTCCCACGATTAGGCCATGGTTTCTATGCATAGTTACCACTTTCTCCTGCAAGTCCCCAACCGCATGAGACTATTATCAAAGGGAACAAGATGAATCTTATCGGAAGGAGTGAATCTTGCGAAGATTCGTGTGTAAAGAAGTAAGTCGTCCATTCTCTTGGATTCTTGTAAGCGATTAAAAGCTTTACCCGTAACCGCAAGTTCCAAGGTCCCGTCCTCAAGTAAGCTCGCTCTACTTTGAAGTAGTTCTTCGGTGGTCATGCGGCTTATACCCGTTGTCACTTTACTACTCAGTGGAGACCATACCACGCTACAGAGACAAAGCTATCGTTAGAAAGATCTTTCATAAAGAATAAGACCAACCTGTTGTCGTTCGTTATATCAGCCAGTAGTATCTTACAGTCAGATGAGAACATACCAGATTGTTTAGCAATATAGTGGCCGCATTGAGCATTATCACCGGTAACCATCACGGGACGAACCTATAGACCAGGAGCATTTCGTTTTCCAGCGGAATCAATATAGACAACGTACCTTTCCAGCTTTGAGAGAATGAATAGCTGCAGAGCTATCCGGCTTGAGCTCGTTCCTAAACAAGACCAGAGATATAAAATTCAGGTCCTTCTCCAACTCATTCCTTGGTAGTGCTAACATGTCTTCAAATGCCAGTTCTCGGCCAAGGTATCTGCAAGGTTCAGGGAAGAAAACAGTATAAAAAGCCAGCTGCAAAACATGGAAGACTGAGGAAACAGCGTGCACCTGTAGCTTAAACCAAGAACATAACAACCTTGCAGAGCTTGAAGCCGTGCTCTGTCCTCGTAGTCCGCTGGAAGGCTTTGAGCGTTGCTCAGCTCCTTAATCTTTTCGAAAGAACCCTGCCATGCTTGAACGGAAATATTAATGAGCAAATGCTAGACGCAAGAACCTTGCAGTAGATGTGAAAGTTTCCAGAGTTGTCCTCCACAACAACACTCATTGTTGCTCTCGATTGATCAAACTCGTTTCGTCTCACGATTCTAAAGGTCCGTGATCCGGAACCATCTGAAACGACTGGGGGACTCTTTGCGGACTCTATCAAATTCCATCCCACAGCTGAGAACATTTTCACCTGTCACACAAAAGATCATCCAAGCTTTTCTGGCGAAAATTACAAATTTACCTCAACCTGGTTTCCAACCAAGTCCTTTCCGAACTTTGTAACAGCATGACATGTGGCAAGTCCATGCAAAACAATATCATCAATTCTTTGACCACCTTCAAGTGATAAAACTGGTCCAAAGGAGTTAGTGACGACACTCTGAACTCCAACAAAATCGAGTCCCTCTTTTGTCAATGTCCCAGTTTTGTCAAAACAGAAAACTCGTATCTTCCCAGCGATAACCTATGCGCTTTGGATTGAGGCAAAACACCCCACGCTTCTGAAAGAACAACATAAGGAACTGGAAACAGGAGGTAAGAAGGCGTGCCTTTAAACTCTCCAGAGCGTGAATTTGTCCAACTTCAAGAGCGACCGGCAATAGTGGCGACATTATCTGATTTATGATGAACATACAGTAGATCCACTTTGTCACCCAAATACTCTGCTGTCCGTTCATGTTCTGGTCCACAATAGACGGAAATGATTTCATATAGAGAAACATGAATATATACCTGAAACTTTATGGACACAACAAAGCATATGATAGCGTAGATAAAAAGAAGACAGGCAACGATTTGGAGCTCCTCATCGTACTTGAAGATGAGCTTTTGAGGGTACAAAATCGTCGCAACCAGTTCGCCTTTGGAGGTTGACATACCTGGGTCACAGAAAAAACGCGTTCCTTAGTGAAAGAAAAAACCATGGCAGAAGGATATACCTGTCTCCGTGACAATTGCGAGAGCATCATCATGGCCCTGTCCTGCTTGAAGTAGAGTAGTCCCAGAGAACAAAGTATGCCGCGAGCCAAGGCCATCGGCCTTATACTGCACGTCGGTGTTGGGAGCAGCGTATTTTTGCACTGGCATGGGCTCACCAGTCAAAGCACTCTCGTCACAAACACAGGAGCCTGGTTCGAAGCTAGTTAAAAATCGAGAAACAGACGGTTTCAAACCTTTGATGATCAGTAGATCGCATGGAAGCACCCAGCCGCTTTTGAGCTTGATAACATCCCCGGGTACCAAGTTTCGCGAAGCAAGGTTTATCCATTGACCGCTTCTCAGAGTTTCAACTTGCGTATCATACTCAGTGATCTGAAAACACAAAAGGACGTTTTCCAACCATCCGAAACTGATTCACAACGCTTACCTTGGCTATCATGAACTGGCCTCGACGTCGATTGTAAATGGTTATCGCAGCGCTCAGTGCCACAATAAACATCATGAGCGGTGCAACGAATAAGTAGCTACTCCAGAACTGCAAAATGTAGGAAATAAGCTGATACACTTTAAAGAGCGTGAACGTTTCATCGAATATAGAATAGAAGAGGGACTCTGGTTTAAACGGGATTTCGTTTGGACACGCTCTTTAAAGTGTCCTAAACACTTTTAAGCTTCCCCTTCAGTAAGACCTTCGGCTTCCTACCGGAAACAATGGAAAAGAAAAATAATTTCGACGCACCGATACAGTACAATATAAGTAAAGTTTTAAAACCTTGAGGAAATCTGAGTATCTCTCCCCAACTTTGAAGTGCACGTCTGTCACAGTTTCGCCTTTGATCAAGAACCTGTGGCCTTGAAAGAAAAAATGCCGCTGCCCGGCCTTTGTAGTGAGTATTTTAACAATCTCGGAATGACCATGTAACTCTTCAAAAGTTGATAGGAAATTCTGCAAAATTGAACAATTTAGCATACGTGAATCACTCTATATTATAGAAGTTGTCAAGCTTACTCGAAAGTAACGGACGTAGTGCACGAGCGGCAAGTCGTTTCTCGACAAAATCTGCTCGCTTTCTCTGGTCCAGATAAAGACGACTCCGGCAGACTCGAGACCGCAAGGACTTCGAAACCAAAATCTTACTCGGCCCTTGAATATTACCCAAGCCGTAAACAAAATGGCCGAGAGCCACCAGACCACGAAAAAGATCTGCAACAAGAGGGCAAAGTTGTGAGCGAGAACAAAAAAGTTTTGCGAACCTTTCCATTGAAGTCATAACTCCCATCCACACCACCGACTTGACACTTGTTGTATGCATCTAAAAGTAAGAGCGAGTGGAGCAGGATCCAGTGAAGCGATGTCAGGCAGCAGAGACAGTAGCAAAACTCTCCAAAATAAGACCAAGTGTAGCCAGTGATTCGGAGCTCCTTCTCCTCTTCCACATTTACCACATGATCTTCGCCAGGTTTTCTATCAGATGAGATAAAATTCTCGCCTTTCCCGTTCCGCTGGAGGACTAAAGGTTGCACCTGATTCCTTCGCAGCTTCAAGAACTTCCAGAGCTGAAATGCCGAGCCGCAGCTGGTAACGAAAGCCCATAACGCGTAGACAATCAAAGGGCCTGTCTGAGTGACGCTGGTGATGAGAACACTGCAGGATGGATCATCAACACAGCTCGTAGGACCTGTCGGATACTTTCCCATGAGGCGAGCGCTGAAAAAGCCACCTGTTCTTCCTCAGATCTTGGATTGGAGCAAGCAAACTTGGAGCAAAGACCAGCAGCCACTCCTGGAGCAAAACTAAATCTCACATTTAGAAAAGAGCCGGGAAGAACTGCAATGTAAACAAGCGAGCACAAAACTTTAAATGTTCCCCAAGCCGACTTTTCCACAAGAAAGGATGACTCAACAACGCTCTTTCATCCAGGTTTTTTGGTCCCCTCCACTCAAAAACTTTGCGACTTTATGTTCACGGCACAATGCAGGTGCTATCAATCCACTGAAAGTGCAAGCTTCAATCATGCCGGGCAAGAGCTTACCTTGGAAGAAACCTTTCGACTCGCGCATTGATTGTGTGAGCCCTGGCCCGCTAGTTCTACTCCTAATGGCGCTCGCTCACTCGCAATCCATGGATTTCTTACCGGATCGCTGGCGCCGATGGATCATCGTAGAAATTTCGACGCGATACTAAAGAAAGGCGTGAGTAGAAAATGGCCGATTGCTCGGATTATAAATCCTACTAAAACCCCCGGCCACTATTGTCCATGATTTTTAAAATCCGATCGGACGGCGTAAAAGCTTCTTATCGGACGGTTACTACTTCTTGGGTTCTGAGACGTCGTTGTGGATGATTCAGCACGATTATCGGGGAGAAGATGAACAGAATGACTAGCAGGAATGCGCCGTATCCCTCCATGTGGCTGATCCAGATCCTCGACAGCTGCAATCGATCCACGGTCTTGTGGTTCTGGAGATGGGGCAAGAGCTGGAGATCCGTGGGGTTGTTGCTGTTGAGCATGTCACTGGCCTGGAACAGGGCCCTGGATAGCAGCTTCTTGCTCGTGATTTGGTGCTGGAGCTCTGCGTAATCCTCCAATTTGAAAATGAGAGTGAGGATTGTGGCAAGCGAGGCGAGCATCTAGAGAACGAAAGGGATCCATATGCAACTTCGGGGCAAATTTGTGGCCTTGGCCAAGGTGGTGAGAATCACACCTTGGAAGATGAAGTAGATGCCCAGGAGCTGATAGATCTTGTTCTTGGTGTTTTGGAGGCATTGCTCCTTGCGCTCGATTTGTTAGTTCACAACCTCTTTCTCCTTCTTCCACAGCTCCAAGTGCAGTTTAAGCGTGGGATTTGTAGTGATTTGCACATAAGGATCAGTGCCAAGGGTGAGATTTTGAGGAGGAGCGTTTAATTCATTGTATGGAGCGACCGGGATAACGAAACTGAGCGATGAAACCCTCACAGACGAACTCGTCTTCTTTGACCCCAGGGAATATTCTTTGTGCGTTAAGGAATATGCTTCAGTGCTCAAGAACCCTAAAATCGGTCTTTCAAGTTTTGCTCGATGTGATTTGCCAGCAAGCAATTCCCATGATCGTGGAGAAGATGAGCAAGATCACTACTAGCAATGCACCGTAGGCCTTCATGTGATCTTCCCAGATCCTGGAGATAAGATTTTTGGGGTGATCTTGCGGCCTGTGCATAATGTGGGGCTGCCACTGGACATTGTGATCGAATGTGCTCCCCATGCTCTTGAGATCGTCACTGGCCTGGAACAGCACCTTGAACATGAGCTTCTCGCCCTTGATCTGGCGCTCCAGCTCTGAGCAATCCCGCAGCTTATAGACGAGGGTGAGAATCGTGGCCATGGACGCCAGTGTTGAGAGCATAGTTGCAGCTAGACGTGCAAACGTTCCAACGTGTCGATGTTTAAACGCTGTTTAAAACGTTTTTTTCAGGACAATCCAACGTTTACATGTTAAAGCCTAAAATGATTAAGAAAACACTAATATTTACTAAAGACACTTTAATCTGATATTAAGTTTATAAAACCTAACCGAATAACATACTGAAAGAAGAAGCCGTTTTAGTCGTCTTCCGATTCTGAATCATCTTCCATTCCTTCATCGATGCTAAACTCCTCAGTAGCCTAATTTGGTTCCTCAAAAGCTTCTTGTAGATTGAAGAACTTGAAGTAAAGGTCCAAGCAAAATTAACAAATTCTTGCACCACTCTTAGAACGAGTCATCGAGAACATGAGATCACAGCTTCAGGCCCTCTGGCTTCTTAGACCAGTCAAGTCGTCTCCATTCTTGGCTCACCACCATTCTTTGAAGCCCGGAGAGATTTGTGGTCTCCAGAAGCTGAGACATCACGAGAAAAATATAAGCAAACCTTGTGGTCACAAGCTTTATTAGGTCCCATTTGCAGAAAGTTCTATAAAGAGCTAGAACCCGTGGCTTTGAGGTGATGAAGGTAACTGTCTTCGCACAGCCATTGACAAAAGGCTGCACCCAAGATAGAGCTCCAATATCTTTGAACAGCAAGTCCATAACGTGGCAAATGCAGCAAACGTGTACAATCTGTGGAAACTCCTGCTGCAAAAGCTCCCCTATGACCACGTAGTTGCTTGCATTGTCCGTCACCACCTGCACAACGTTTTCTGCGCCAACCTCTGCTCTGGTTTTCTTCGTGTTCTTGCTGTCCACAGCCTTTAGGAAAATTGAGCCTCTCACAGAACTGACCATGAAGTTGATAAGAGACCACTTCTTGATATTAGACTAGCCATCCGTGACAATGGTACAACCATATGTCCTCCAACTTAGCCGCACATTTTCAAGCCGCTTCTGAACGTTGTTGTAGATTTGCTATAACTCAGTTGTCCACAACTTCTCATATCCCATGAGGTTGTCAATCACTGGATGCCCCACTTTTGTGGCAACTTTCAGCATTCTCTTCAAGTTGTCTCTTTGGATTGTGTTGAAGGAGATGTTCTCGGCAAAGAAGAACTCTGCAACAGCATCATCCAGTGCCTCAGCTGAAGCAGTATAAAAAAATGTCACCAAATTTCTATCCGAGGATCTGTGTTTTGCTGCTCTGCTTGTCCCAGCACTGGACCCCATAGATTCTGCTGGCCCCCCTGAACCCTGTGTGGCTTGCTGCAGCAGATGCCCATCATCGGCATCTACTAGCTCTGCTAGCTCGGAATCAAAATAACTGCTACAAGCTTTTTTAAGAACCTCATAAGGGATTTCCCTCATTGCCTTGCACGTTTTCACACCTCTTGCCCGAACTCCAGCAAGATGTGCTCACACTCAGTCCGCTCCCCTAGTGTGAATCTCATGACAATACTTACATGTCCAGTGCCGCTCTGCTCATATCACATGCTTCCAGCTCCAGCAGTCGCAGTGTCCTCCAATTCCTGTCATGACCAAAGAAACCCTAAAGAAACCCTAAAGAAACATTTGTTTCTTTTCGCAAATAGTGCAAACGCGTTGGGAGTTTAGAACGGCGTTTTTGAACGCGTTTAAAACGTTACGTTTTTTAAGTTTCACACGTTTTCCTGCAACTATTCGAGAGCACGAAGGGGATCCAGCGCCACTTCTCGGAGAGATCGTTCGCCTGGGCTAGGGCGGTGAGAATCACACCTTGGAACACGAAGTAGATCCCCAGGAGCTGATAGTTCTCGTTCTTGGCGCTCTGCAATCGCTGCTCCTTGCGCTCAATGCGTTGATTCACGACCTCCTCCTCCTTCTTCCAGAAATCCAGCCGCAGCCTCAGGGCCTTGTTGCCTGCGATCTGCTCGAATGGATCGACGCCGCCGCCTCCTAGCAGAGCTTCCTCATCGCGATCCTGGCAATTGCTGCTACTGCTGGCCATGGATTGATTGAGATGAGAGAGCGGGATTTCTTCGTGGTGATTCATCGTGCTATTGGCCACTGCTTCCAAGGGATTGGGAAGAAGAACGCGTTTCTAGGCGGCAAGCGCCAGGAAGCATCCTTTGATGCTAAAAGGTTCCTCTAGCTAAAACACATTGCTATTTGTCATGGCCGCAAATATATATTTTCTCTTTCTCTAGCAAGCCCTAGGTAGCGATCGCGATCGTGTCGCCATCGCGAAAATTTTCGCAAGGATGATCATCGGAGCTGGATACGCTGCGCTCATCACTGGCGCTGTCTCTGGAATCGGTAAATTTCGTGTTGGATTTCGGCCGATCTTTTGTTCTTTGCGATGTCTAGGACGAGCGCTAGCGCTTGCGCTCGCTGAGAAGCGCTCGATTTCGACTCTGGAAATGGCCTCGAGGCGCTCAATCTAGTGAAGGAAGTCCATTCCAGGCTCGGCATCTCGGGCACGGCGGCCATTTTTGTCCAGTGCGATGTTACAAAACCTGGTATGCTCACAAACACACACACACACACACACTGCTTATTTTTATGTCATGCACTAATACTTCGCTGTTTTAGAGGAACTTTCTCTCGCGTTTGTTTTAGAGGAACTTTCTCTCGTGTTTGTGCTCGAGCTCATCCATGACTATAGAGTTTAAAGTCTCTTTTGCTGGGCTTTACAGGTCAAAGCAATGCGAGCTCGGGGACAACCGGGAGTGATCATAAACCTTTCATCTGCGTCGGGATTATATCCGGCTCCCTTGATGCCAATCTACCCGGAAGTAAAGGTAAAAGCTCAGAAGGTGGTCTCATTTCATTTTGCTGTCGAAACACTCCATTTTTCTAGGTGGTGTTGTGTTGTTTACGAGATCGCTATCAAGACTTCGCAGAGAAAAAATACGAGTGAACGCGCTCTGTCCCGAGGTCAGTGCACAGTTTACAATTTTTTTTCGATTTTGACATACATGCCGGGTTTCCAGTTTATCGAGACTGCAATGACGAAGTCTCTGGATAGGAAAATAATAGACATAACCGGAGGTTATCTATCAATGGACAAGCTTATTCACGGTAAGGTGTATATTTAACTATTCAGAAGCAACGTCGTGTTTTTTTATTCCTCAGGGGCCTTTCAGCTCATTGAAGATGATAGCAAAGGAGGTGTTTGTCTTTGGATAACAAACAGGCGTGGTCCGGAGTATTGGCCTTCAGAAGAAGAGGAAAACAAGTTCCTGGTTCACGGTAGAAGAAAAAAAATCCCTCAAGAATCGAAAGAACTTCCGTCTCCAAATCTGCCTACGTCCTTTGATCAACTGTAAGTGATTGTTTATATTTTGATCCTGTTTCTACTATTGCTGTTTTCAGGATGGTTCATAAGCTGAGCAGCGATTTTCGTGTTGCCACGAAAATCGTCACGGTACCACTAAGACTTCCTGTGAGAGAAGGCCACGTACTGATAAAGAACTACTATGCTGGTGTGAATGCAAGTGATGTAAGTAGGCGTGCAACTCCTTTTTATCTTACATATCCTTATGTTTCAGGTGAACTATAGCTCTGGACGTTATTTTGCAAATGAGAAAGAAGCATTGTCGCGCCTTCCTTTTGTTGCTGGCTTTGAGGTAAAGTTTTATTAGATTTCTATGTAAGTTTTCCTTTTGTGCGCTTTGCAGTCCGTTGGAGTGGTTGCAAGCATTGGACCTGGCGTAGCTCTAGATGAGATTACGCTAGGATCTGCTGTTGCAACCTTTAGCTACGGGGGTTTTACAGAATACTCACAGGTTTAGCAAAAGAAAAGTGAAATTTTTGTTCTAACTAGATTTGCAGGTTCCTGCAAAGTCTGTCATTCCTGTTCCTTCCCCGACTCCTGAAGTTGTGGCTATACTTGTCTCTGGACTGACGGCTTCTCTTGGTTTGCAAGAGGTAGTGGTGCTAGCTCTGTAATCTATAACCCTTGCTCACTGGTCTTTATGCGGAAGACATAAAAACGGTATGTAAGAAGTGCTATGGAGTATCTAACAGATGAACAGGTTTTGAAGAAAGAATATCCACGTGGAGTAGACCTTGTCTACGAATCTGTTGGCGGGACGATGTTTGACACATGCCTGAATGCTCTTGCAACTTTTGGACGTCTGATCGTCATAAGAATGATATCGCAGGTGTGTTAATGTTGTATTTTAGCCGCCATATGAAAACGCTTTCTTGCAGTATCAAGGAGAAGGTGGATGGCAACCGAGAAACTATCCTGGACTTTGCGAGAAGTTGCTGTGGAAATCGCAAACCATCGTAAGCAAGTGCTGCCATAATGCTGCTTTGCTAACAAGGTTATCCAGGTTGGATTCTACTTAATGCATCACAATAAGCTTTGGAAAGAACACGTTGCGAAACTTCATAGCCTACACAGTCGGGGGAAGCTAAAGGTATCGTGCTTATCTGCTCTTTGAGCGAGAATACAACCTACTTCTCTGCAGATTGCAGTTGATCCAACACCCTTTACTGGCCTAAGCTCTGCATGTGATGCTGTGGAGTACCTTCATTCTGGAAAAAGTGTTGGCAAGGTATTGCGATTTGATTGAAATGATGCGCACTAATTTCATGACTTTGTCTCCAGGTTATCATAAGAATTTCCATGGATGCTCCAGCGCTTCAAATCTCACGTTTGTGATGTATTGACACCTGACCTTTACTTTTGGTGTTTCCTTTCTGCGAATAAGAGCTTACACGTCAGTTTAGATTCCGCGCCAATCCAAACAGGTAGCAATCTAAAGTTTTCGAGTTTGATACGATAAGAGAATGCGACAAAATTTTCTAGCTCTTTAAGCGTTTGAAAAGACGCTTGTGTGCAGCCATGCAGGCGATGGATCTCTGGCTTCCTTCCATTGCAGTGGCCTTGATCATCGTCCTTATCTCGTGCATTCTCAACTTCAACAGCTGGTTTTATGCTCCGAAGCTTAGACCTGGATCGCCACCATTGCCACCAGGTTCGCTTGGTTGGCCTGTTTTCGGAAACATGGGAGATTTCTTACAGGCCTTCAAGTCAAGCAATCCGGAGTCCTTTGTAGGGGGTTTCATTTCCAAGTAAGTGTTAATTTCCTTTTTCTTTTCAAAACCTCTGCTTTTCTTGCAGGTATGGATGTGGAGGCCTGTATAAAGCGTTTTTGTTCAGGCAGCCCACCATTCTGGCCACATCAGCGGAAGTATGTAAGACCGTGCTTTGTAACCATGATGTTTTTGAGATCGGATGGCCAGAGCGAGTGGTGAAAGAGCTTCTGGGACTGAAGGTTCTCTCGGCAGTGACGGGCGACGATCATTTGAAGCTCAGCAAACTGGTCAAGCCGGCTTTAAGTTCACCGAAAGCAATTCAGCATCAAATGCCTTGCATTGAAGAAAACGTGAAGAAATTGCTAGACGAATGGGCGGATCGAGGCAACATCGTCTTTCTAGATGAAGCAAGAATGGTGAGCGAGCCTCAAAACAATCCGCAAAATTCTAACCTGCTTTTTGTTTCTGTCGTTTCTGTAGTTTACGTTGAAAACTATTCACGAGATTCTAGTAGGAGAGGATACAGGGATTGATTTCAAACAGGTGTCTGGGCTGTTTCACACCATGAACAAGGGTCTGCGTGCTTTACCACTCAACTTTCCTGGCACTGCTTACAGTAACGCTGTCAAGGTTCTTCTTCTTCTTCTTCTTCTTCTTTTTTCTCCGTCTTAAGTTTGTGCTTGGTTCGTCCAGGCACGCGCAACGTTGGCAAATGACTTCTGGCGAATATTCTACGAAAGAAAGGAAAGCAAGAAGAGAGGAGGAGATACTTTGTCCATGCTGCTGGACGCCACAGACGAGGGCGGTCAACCTCTAGAAGATGATCAAATCGTGGATTTGATCATGTCTTTTATGAACGGAGGGCACGAATCCACGGCACATCTCGTCACCTGGTTGGCCATCCTCCTGAAAGAGCACCCTGCTGTTTACCAAAGACTCAAGGTATCCATTTCGCTTTCAGTATGAATATTTTCTTAGTGTTTTTTGCAGGCTGAACAAGATGAAATCGCGCTCAAGAAAATGCCTGGCGAAAGCCTTACACTAGCTGACATGAGGAGCATGACTTACATGTCTAGAGTATGCTAAAGTTTCTTCGAGTTCTTTATGACCGCTGACTTTCTGTGAAGGTGATTGATGAGACCCTGAGGCTGATTAACATTTCCCCGTTTGTCTTTCGGAAAGTTCTCAGCGACGTGCAGCTAAACGGTGAGTAAACTTCTAGAGAGCTTTTGAAAAGGATATATGCTTGACCAACGAATTCACCAGGCTACACAATCCCGAGAGGATGGTTCGTAGAGGCGTGGCTACGACAAGTACACATGGATCCCCTCGTGCACAAGAACCCGAGAGAGTTTGATCCCGACCGCTGGATTGTAAGCGTTTTGTTTCTTTGGTCGTATTCCCTACGTTAACCGGAAGTTTCTGTGTCAAGAACGAGAAGCCTCAGCCTCATACGTACGTTGCCTTCGGCTTGGGCAATCGAAAGTTTCCCGGAAGCAACCTCTCCAAGATCCAGAGCAGCATCATCATCCACCATCTCATCACGAAATACAAGTAAGCACAACGTTTTCCATCTTTTGCATTGGAAGGCTCACACACACCAACACAGCTGGGAGCCATTGAATCCACACTACAAGCTCGTATATCTCCCACACCCAAGGCCCGCCGACCACTATCCCGTCAAGATCACGAAGCGAGCACTTGTCTAGGATCTCTCTTCACGCCTTGGAGAAAGTAAGCACCATTTCTCACAGAGACTGTGATTTGGCTGTAAGAATCTATGTCCCTGGAACTAACCGCCAGATTTGTTGGTATTACCAGGCCATCTTCACTCCGCGCGAGGACCGCCATGGCATAGTAGAGCTGGTTCTTGGGATAAGTTAGCTTCTCGCTACGGGCCTGCGCCTCCAGAGTACACAACAAGCCTCCGTACACCTCTCGATTCTTCTCCATTAGCTGGATCGTACTGCCAGTGTTGTTGACAAAGGTAACTCCTCGAATTTGCGCTAATCTCTCGTCGCTGCTCCAGCACCCCAGCGAATTTCCCATGGCCTGCCTAGTAGCAACAGACGTGGAGAGATCTTTGTTCCCAGGATTTTATAGAATGGTGGCCGCCACCGCGTCAAGTGACCTGACCAATTCCAATGGAACTTCCAGGAAGAGCTGTGTGTTTTAACTTATTAGGCAGCAGTCACGAGATTAGTTCATACTTGGTTACGTTTCTAAGTTCAATATCTAGAGCGTACTGAGTCCACTCTATCAAGAGAAAGAAGCTTTAGATTCTCCAAGAACTAGACAAGGAAGCCTTCACAGGTTCTCGACGGGAAATCCAACCACTGGAGAAACTCTCTTTGCAATGTCCCGGAGTTCCTCAACTTCGTCGGCTGTTAAGTTCCATCCGAGAGCCCCCGCGATTTCAATCGCCTGATAAGTGGAGATGCCTCTTTACTTAGCCACGAAAAAACCATATGAATTTTTTTTTTTTTTCTTTTAGTACCTGTTGTGCCGACTTGGCACCTGGAATGGGAACCACATTCTTCTGTGCGACCAGCCAATTGAGAGCTACCTGGAAAAGTTAAACATCGAGAAAACTTTGCGTAAGTTATGTGACTTTCAAGGCTCCACCAGAAAAAAAAACCTGTGTGGATGTCTTGTCGTACTTTTCTCCTAGTTGCTTGAGCTTGATTAGCACAGGAGAGAGCTGAGGAAGTTTCAAAAAGTTCAAAACTACAAACAAAAAAAAGAATAGTAGCTATTACCTTTGACAGGAACCCCGCATTGTAGATTCCTCCCCTGGGTCCTTTTGGTGGATTTGATGGCGTGTATTTCCCGCTCAAGATACCTGTGAGATGTTTGAGAATCCTCATCTTTTTATTTCATGTGCCTGGAAGTTACCTTGAGCGATCGGAGAATAAGCTATGAGTGTGATTCCCAGGTCGTCACAGGCTTGTTTGACGCTGTTTTCCTCTGGTTTTCGATAGATCAAGCTGTAGTTTACTTGATTCGATGCCAGGACAACTCCTCGTCTCTTCAGCTGGTCGTGAGACCTCTTAAGCCTGTCCACTGGAAGCAAACCAAGGATTTACATTGGTTTCCAAAGTAGAAATGCCACACCTTTGTAATTGGAAACTCCTACTGCTTTTACGAGTCCTTGCTCCACAGCGTCACCAAGACCGTCGAGATATCCTGTTACAAATACAACGTAGCAAAGAAACTAGAAAACGAGTAAAAATGAAAAAAAGAAAGAAAGAAGACACCACCTTCATTTCCCCATATGCCTGGCCTGCCATTTAATTTAGACGTGAAGTTTAGAGCGTCTTTCAAGTTAAAAGTGCCATACCAGTGGAGCTGATATAAATCGACAGACGAAAGATTGAGACGCTCCAGAGAATCCTTGAGTGCTTTGACAACGCTCCCTCGGCCAAACCTCCATGGCAGTGCAGCAAACTTCGTTGCCACTACAATCTTAGATTGTTCTTCTTGTTTGATCTCCTTGATAAACCTGCGGGAAGAAAGAGGAAAACTTGAAAAATAGAAGACAAGCTTGTTTACCTTCCTAGAAGTGTTTCAGAATTTACAGCACCAGATGCAAACTGGAGTTGGACAAGTTAGATGGTTTAGCAGTAAAGTTCTAGCTCGGGACAGAGAATTCCACCTTGGAGCCATAGACCTCTGGACAAACGAAAAAAGAGAATTGAACACACCATTGTGATCAACCAGCAAAATTGCTCACCTGCAGTATCAAAGAAATCCAAACCACTTTCCACGCTCGCGGTGAATGCCTCTTTTGCATCTCTCAACTTTCTATCTGTAATTGAAGAGTGATAATCCACACAACTCGGCATGAAGAAAGAAGAATCACTACCATTCCAAGTGCCTTCATTCCAGTAACTTGTATCGCCCCACGACCAAGCCCCAATCCCGACAGGAGAAACCTCTACACTGGATTTTCCTAGCCTTACCTTCTGGGTTGGTGTTGTCACAGTGATACAAGCACTGATCGAAGAGCCATGCCGCCTTGTTTTGATCCGGGCAGCTGGCAGCCATAAGAGAGAATGTGGTGGCGATAGTGCCATGGCTCAAAAATCCCGCTTTAACCTTAAACCCTATGCATATCGTGACAGATTTTCCTTGTACTGCTGCAATGGCTTAGAATGTTTTTTGTCACAACCAACCGATTATAGAGTAACAGATTTAAAGCCTCAAGATTAGAAATATTTAATTCATCTTTATTAGTTTGTATGTCTTAACAAAATCTCAAAGGCAATAAAGAATAATGCTATTGCCAAAAACAACTTAGCAAAGACAGCCTTTAATGAGCTTGAAGCCTCTAATCACAACCAGAATATATGTAAAGATGAAGGCCACTCTCTTTGAGCTTATGAGTTTCCCTCATCTTTCAGGAACTCCTGCAATAAGGTAGCAAGCATGATGGTAATATAGAGGGATTGGCAAGTCTGTGAAATAAGCATATAAATGAAGATTAATAATAAAACAATATGAGTGCATTAGATATGGAATACAAAAATGTGCATATTAATTAATTTAAAAACCTTAGTTTATATACAAAAGCAAGTGGTCTGGATTGAAAATAATTTAGCAATTATCAAAATCCCACTATACTATATTAATATATAGCCATACATTTAGACCTCACATCATCCTTTCCTCTTGAAATTAGAAGATAGTTAAAGTTCTCTAATGGACAAGTCAAAATCTAGAGGAATATAAGGAGGATGCATCACTAAACTTGTAGGTGGTGTCGATCCTTTTATAGGAAGTGTTTTAGCCATTGCATATGCATAATTTTTAGAGGATTAGTCTATTGAACATCATAAACTTTGTAATCTAACTTGCCATAACACCCGATGTGGTCTTTTCTATTAAGTAATAAACCTTTTACACAAACCACATACTATAAAATTGGGAAAACAAATTAACATTAAGTCATTCATTTTATACTCTATAGATGGATGATAATGGGAGTTGTAACACTGTTGTTATCCCACTTATACGTGGCCCAAGTGTTTGGTAGACTCTACTTAGATTAGTGGAAGAATGCTTGTCAAATATTAATCCAAAACTTAGCATTAACAGCTCGTGTGTAGCACATGTGATCATGGGATGAGATTTGGATATACTGTCACCGTGGATCCTTGGAACCTTGGGAGATAAATAGGGATAAAATAGCCACTAAGGGCTCTCTCATCAAGCAATTGCCCCTTTTCCAGTTAGCTTAAGGGGAGAGAGATAAGGTGCGCTACAGTTGGTATCGGAGCAAATGACATGGGTTCGATTCCCATTGATTAGTGGCTACTTAAAAGTATAATAGACCCTTGAGCAAGGTATATTCCTACCCCTAAATTTGAAATCGTACGTATTGGGCATCCATACGTACGTCCTTCCTCTTGTGTGGAGTATCCACGGACGAAGGTATCCACCGTGGGACTGCGGTACGGGTGGATGACTAGTTGCCTCACATGGAATAGCTAATCTACACAATAGAAGGATTGGTAGATTGAGTGCGGAAATGGAGGTGTTGGTTCCCCTTAGCTCAGTAGGGGTTGTTAGTCAATAGTCAATGAGGACATTGACATCTTTGAAGGGGGGGTGAGTGTAGCACTACACAATGGAAGGATTGGTAGATTGAGTGCGGAAATGGAGGTGCTGGTTCCCCTTGGCTCAGTAGGGGTTGTTAGTCAATAGTCAATGAGGACATTGACATCTCTGAAGGGGGGGTGAGTGTAGCACATGTGATCATGGGATGAGATTTGGATATACTGTCACCGTGAATCCTTGGAACCTTGGGAGATAAATAGGGATAAAATAGCCACTAAGGGCTCTCTCATCAAGCAATTGCCCCTTTTCCAGTTGGCTTAAGGGGAGAGAGATAAGGTGCGCTACATCGTGGCAATTACAAAAGTAAATTCAACTTTTAATGAATTCTTTCCTTCTTTTGGTTTTTCAAATTCTTTTTTTTTTCTTTCTCTACATCTTCCTTTTCATCTCTATCCACTTACATTCACAAAACATCACTTTATTACATCATTATAAATATTTGATCTTTGTTTTCATTTCTACACTATACATATAATTCTTGGGATCTTTAAACATCACTCTATCAAGTAGATCTCTAGCAATACAAAGCAATAAAAATCAATTTTTTTGGCTATAAAAGACAAAATATATAACTTAAACTATCAAAGTGTGATATATAAGTGTCTAAATTTTCCATTATACTTTAGTCACTTAACCACACATTTAACCACTTAGAGGAATCTTACTCACAACCTTTATAAATCTTATTTTTGACTTAGGGACATGCTAGCCTCATAAATGGTATCTATGCCATTCAGCCTTTGCACTTGGTCCAAGTGCTCCATATGTCTAATTCTATAACAGACACTTTAAAAGCACCATTGACATATTAACCTATTATGCTAAAGCTATGTTTATTTACCTTTGTCCATTGGTAATCTAAAACCACCCATACCCTTGTTCTGTCTCTAAAAGATTAAGCAATCTGTCCATAAGTGGTCATCCCAATACCACACTGTAGCACACATGGTTTTCACCCTTTATTCTATGGTGATTTACCATAGAACAACCACAAAACAAAACCTAAACCCCCCATGTGCCACATGTTACATGCCATATATCTAAAGGACAATGGTGTGAAACCTGAGTTTTAGAACCTTGGGCCACTAAAAGAAAGAATGGAGCTAAACTCCCAAACATGAAGCCAAAGAGTAATGGCATTGAAGCACGGAACGACTCCCGAGTATATATCCCAAGCAACGAAGGGACAGGAGCATGAAGGGACTTGGAATAGTTCTAAAGTATCCAGCATCCCAATGCCAGAACCAAGATGCAAAATGGAGCCAAATGGAGTCTAGCGTTATTTTAATATATCGGTTGCCTAATGCAAGGATATGGGTACTCCACCAACAAGCATGTTATAAAACTTGGACTTAGACCCAAACCAAACGCAAAACAAAGACAGGTACACAAGTAAAGCTAAACTATACTTTAAGTTAGTCAAGCCATGCTTGACTTACCCACTATCCCTATTATATGTTTTCAATCCCCCACACCCCCCCCCCCCAAGCCTTGAGGAACACATGCTTTGGGCTTTCACCCCAAGCCTCTTTTAATACCAGGGGTTAGTCTTTGGAACCTCGAAACTTACTAAATATGGAATATCCTTATATTGTGAACTTGGTCACAGGACAAACACCATTGTGTTCAAAACAATCTCTATATTCCGTTGATATGCCAAATTA